CCCCCCCCCCCCGGGGTGAGGCCCACCTTCCCCCTTCTCATCTTACACTCCCGGACTCGGGAAGACTGACAGGGGGGCTGTCCACTCCCTTCGGGGCGCCCTAGCTCTCCTCCCCCACGGGGTGTGGCCGCGCCCTGGCCTCTGGGGGCCCGGGCTCCGAAGCGGAACGCCCCGCTGAGGCCCACGTCAGCATCTTTCCGCGAGAAAGACAGCGGGCCCCCCAACCTACCATCCCAAGCACGCGGGTTCCAGCCAGGCCCTGGCGGTGGGCGTGCTCCTGGGGCAGTCCCTTTGAAAGCCACTGGCATTGTATATGCCCATTTTAAAATCACGTGACTTTTGGTATCAGCAATGCCTACCTACATCCCCAGACATGCCGGTGGAGAACTTGGTACGTGGGTCTTCTTGCCCCAGCCCCAGCGGGGTGCTTGGCACACAGTAGGTGCTCCAGAAATATTTTTGAGTGAAGTAATGAGCCTAATTGTTACTTAGTGGACACTAACCTGTACTCTCGGTTCTTAGAGTGAAATACTAGGCAGCTCTGAAAAATAGAAGTGACTGAGGAAAGTCACGTTTCATGGAGCACTTCCTGTGTCCTAGGCACCATTCTAAGTGCTTCCTGTGAATGAACTTATGAAATCCCCAGCAAAACGTCATGAGAGGTAGTATGATGATCGATCTTATATTCTAGCTGAGGAAGTAAAGTCACTTGCTCAAGGTCACATGTCCAGGAAGAATTAAAACCTGAATTTGAATCTGAAACAGTCCGACCTATGTGTGTGTGTGTGTAAGTATGTGAGTGAGTGTGTGTGTGTGCGCCAAAGGGCCTAGGTGTGTGTACATGTACTCCTCACATGTACAGGCACTGCCAACAGTGGCTGTGTCTGGGGAGGGGGACTGGGGACCCCCAGAGCGAGCAGAGACATGTACTTTTCACTCTGTATCCTTTTGGATTACTTAGATTTTTAGCAACCAAAAATGTTAATGAAAATAGGAGGTATAGCTCAGTGGTAGAGCATTGGACTGCAAAAAACGTTAATGAAAATAAGTTAAATTCAGCCAAAGGTCCTCATACTCAGCCACAGACCAGGTAGGTCAGAATCCCTGGCACGTGGGGACTGGGATTTGCAAAACTTCCCAGGTAACTCTAAGACAGTTGGCTCAGCGACCATACACAGCAACAACAACAGCCGTAGTAATAATAAGGGTTAAGCTGCACGGATGGTTTCTTTGGAAACAGGCGTCCTGCGATGTGCTGAGCAGGCCTGTTATGAGTCTTCAGAGCTACGTGGTAGCGTGGGTGCTGTCACTTTCATCTTCTTATAGACGGGGAAACTGAGGCTAGTCTGAAATTGCAACTAGGTGAGGGGCCAGATATTTGAACCAGATCTTAGGCACTGGAATAAACTTCAGGCTCTGCAGATACAGCTGGTCTTCTGCTCCTACCTTAAAGTGCCAGACCGTTTAACTCCTGAAGAGCCACAGCCTGTCCAGCCACCCTCATGATTTATCTGGGTCCACGGAAATGCCTCCTCATTGGGCTCCCTGCTTCCTGCTCCCTACCTGTGATCCATCTCCAACTCAGCCACTTAAGTCAGATCTGTCTCTATTCTTTTTAAATCCTCACCATCTCCCGCAAAACCCTACTAGATCTCCCCCACTTCCTTCTCTCCTCCTCTCCTCCTCACTCTACCCCAGCCACACCTACCTCCTTGGTGTTCATGCAACACACCAGGCTTACTTCTACCTCAGGGCCTTTGCACTTGTTGTTCCTGAGGCCCAGAAAGTTCTGCCCTGCCTTCTCTTGGCAATATCCCTCTGCTCAAATGTCATCATTTTAGAGAGGGCTTAGTGATCCCAAACTACTCGGGGGGCCTCTACTCTCTTAATGACCCTTGAGCCCAGGAATCCTTAACCCTTTCCATGCTATGGGTCGCTTTCAGGGTGGTTTTTCTATGCATAGAATTGCATCCATTGGATTCAAAGGAGACCGATTATAATGAAATACAACGATTAAAGAAAGATTACAGAAACAACAAAACCCGTAAACTTTAATATAAGGTATAAAAATGAACACGTGTGATTTTGTTTAACTCACGACATATGATTTTACTGAACTCCAGAAGGAACCAGAAAAATGTGAAAGGAAAGAGGGAAGGGGGAGAGAGAGGAAGGAAGAGAGAGAGAGAAAGAAGGAACAAAGAAAGATGCTCGGGGGCGGGGGACGGTTAAGGTCTTAGCGAGGCCTTTGCACGGTTATTGGCTCATTCTGGTTGTTTTTGCTTCAGCAGAGTCGGGTCGTTAGGCTTCTCTGGATTTTCTCCTCCTCTTTCTTCTCACAAGCTCCGTCCCAGCGGCGGCGCTCAGCCGGCGCCAGGTCTCCAGCCACCGCTCCCTCCCTTTTGCGCACTTTCTCACCCGCCTCCCAGCGGTCTCCATGGCAACGAGGAGACGCGCTCCTCCGCGCGGGTCAACTCTGAGAGGGTGGGCCCAGGCAGAGGGCGGGGCAGGGGAGCGCTTCTTGGCTTCTTATTCCTGCCCTAGGCCTGATCCCCGAAATCAGCTTCCCTGAAAAGCTGCTTTGTAGAGGCCCGAAACTAAAAGTCTCTAAGACATTGGGTTTTGTAACTGTAAAAGTTGTGTGTGTGTGGCCGAGGTTGGGGGCTGGAGGGGTGGACTTTATCCTAGAAATAAAACCCTCAAACTGCAAAAATTGCCAAACCCAGAACAGTTCCGCTGTGGATGTTTTAGATTGCCCAGATCTCTGGCAGGCGAGATTCCCCAGCCCCCCTGAAAAAAACGATAATTATAGCTCCCACTTTTATACTTGTTTAAAAGAAACGAAAAATCCAAAAAGAATAGGAAAGAAAACAAAACACGGTCCAAATCTCTCTACCCAGCTATAGTTGATTGCTGCTTTAAAACATAATAATAACAATGAAAGTGACACACACACATTAAGAAAATGCTGACGTTATAGAAAGATGTAAAATGAAATCCCTCTTCCAGCCCCAAACCTCAAGCTTCTCTCCCCAAATTAACCACAGTTAGATACTTCTGTACTTTTACAAAAAAATTTAAAAAACAAGTTTCATGGGTAATTTTAGAATTTACCCCATGAGGATTTTTAACATCATCCTGAATTCATCATAGCCCTTACCATGTCCTGGTATTTTCTCATTTATTAATTGTCTCACTCTATTAGAATATTAGCCTCATGAGTGGGATATTTATCTGGTCTGTTCACTGCTGAATTCGCAGAATCTAGAACAGTGCTATAGATGCTCAAAATATTTGTTGAATGAATGAATGATGGGATTAGATCTAGTACTAAAAACTAACTTTTTTCACTTAATAGCATGTCTTGAAGTCTTTACATATCAGTTCATGCAGATCAATTTCTTTTTCTTTTTTCTTTTTTTTGACAGAGGAGAGGTAATTAGGTTATTTATTTATTTTTTAATAGAGGTATTGGGGATTGAACCTCGGACCTCGTGCATGCTAAGCACGTGCTCTACCACTGAGCTATACCCTCCCCCCAGATCAATTTCCATTTTCTTTTTCATGACAGCATCCACCTTTCCATAAGCCCTCAATCTGGGAACATGATAATACTCATAATAATACATTTTTCTTGAGCAACTATTTTGTCCCTGACCTGGTGCCTTTTTTTGTTTGATCCTTACAACCCCTCCTAAACAAATATTATTCTCATTTTCAGGATGAGGAAAACTGAGGTCAAAATTGGCCGCACAGCTACGAAGTGACAGAGCTTTGAATCCCTCAGTTTCCTTAGATTCCAACCCCACTCTTAAGACTCTTTTATTTGCCCTGTTGCCTGGGTGGGTTGGGGATGGGAAGCAAGGTTGGTAGGAAGTCCCTGAAGACTTCTCTTCCAGGTGACATTTGTAACCTTGGCACTGTCACTAGATTTAGCTTCAGTCTCAAGTGTCCAGAAATCAGATCCCTGTCTAGAAAGAACAGAATATAAATCATTCACAGTCTTGAACCAGATACCATTGGGTTAGTTGATAGCACATAGTAGGTCCTCAACAAATACAGCAGGAAGCAGCCTTATGGTCCACACTCTGCCCGCATAATTGGATCACCCCTACCTCCTACCCTCCTCAGTCCAAAATCTGAAGGTGGTTTGGTGAATGTGGAAGCAAAGCTGGAAGTTAGCGGTCATATAGTTGAAGAATCACTCATTCATCCATTCATTCATTCATGTGGCATATTTCTCTAACATAGTGATTCTCAAATCGGGTTGCACATTAGAATCACTGGAGAGAGTTTTAGAAATTCCAGTTTCCTGAGTCCAACCTACTGGAT